ACAATTATAAGATGTTAAATTTGTTTAGTAAATATGAGAAACTATATTATAAGTATTTTAGGATTTTACTCTTATTTTCCAGTTTGACTCGGCCACAGTAATATTCTTCGTACTTACCACTAGAACTGCCATGCTATATTGCTGATGAGCATGTTGATAAGAACTACAATAAGTAAAATTTGTGTTCTAGAAATAAAATTATCAAATAAATATTGCCAAGCCCTTCCTTTAGAAGTTAAATTTAAATGTAATACTTTGGTATCAATTAATGAAACTTAGTGCAAAATTTTAAATTAAATATGATTGCGCCCTTGGCTACGGTTTTGTAATATTAATTCTGTTAACTATTAACTTATATGCCACAGGTCATTTCTAAAAGGAGAAAATATTACAAATATTGGAAATGAGTTTCCAATATGCCCTCAAGAGGAAAAACGCACATCAAGTAAAACCAATTTCCAAACACATTTTGAAAAGGTAATAGGTATTACTTAAAAAAAGTCATAAATTGTCAGATTTAATACGGAAACTGGATCAGAAATCAATCAAACAAACTTTAAATTTTGCAATATCCCCCGAAAAGTGCAAGATATTCGGGGAGCAAGCTGGTGGCCTAGTGGTAGAGAGAGCATGGGACTTCGTATCCTGAGGTCCCAGGTCCAAATCCTGCCACTCACCAATAGGAAAACCACTTTTTCCTAAAGGGGTGTAAAAATATGAAAAGGCTTACCGGTATATTGTTTACATTTGCTTATTTTTATGAAGACCTTAACACCTTTAGGTGTTAGGTGGCTGAAAAAAAACTTGCACTCCCCTGCCTTAACCATTTGATATTATATACTGTATTAAATCGGTTTGTGGCAACCTTCTTGTATTCATCATTATTATAGCCCCTCATATCTAAGAAGGTTGCCACAAACCGATTTAAAACATATAAAATGGTTAAAAAGTTAAGGCGGAAGGTGCAGGTTACTTTTCAGCCACCCTGTTAACCTCTATCCAATTATTAATCAATCAAAAGTAGTGCCGTAGGTCTCATTGTAAGACCTAAGCCCGGGACCGATTTATTTTTCATTTTGATGTCCCCCAGAAGCCAAAAACACTATTCGTTTAAATTTGTATATATGTGTATATATAATATATACTTGTGTATGTGTCCATAAACGCGATAACTTGAGTAATTTTTGTCTGATTTTGATAACATTTGGTTTGGGTTTGAAGGTGTAAAGGCGGGATAAACTTGAATGAGTTCGCGAACCAGCATGATCGGACCATGAGAGGGGTTTGTATTTATCTGAAGGAGTTATTTCTTGTTCCACAGGGTGTCCCGGAACTCTCTACCAATATTTTAGGGCATTGTTCCTGGGTAGTTAACATACCTAAATATCGTATTTAAATTTCCCGGAAGTCCTTAGTTACTCACACAGCCCCCATTTAGTTTTTTTTAAGTTATTATGTTTTTCTAAAGAAGGGTTAAACATACGAAATTGAAACTTTGCACAAACATTTATGACAACTAAACAAAGCTACCAAAAAATTATAATGATTTTTCAAATTCATAAAACAAAATGGCGGCCGTTCTAGATTTTGTTTCTTAAATAACTCGAAAACCGTTGATTTTACAAAACTATTACAAGAATAACTTTTTTAAGGCAATTTTATTACAAATCGATTGACACCTTAAGTTTCAAGATTGAACAGGTATTAACAGAGATATGGTAGTTTTAGTGATACGTAACCGCTGGAGGTTATTTGCAGCGCATGCTGAAAGCAGTCACGTATCACTAAAACTACCATATTTAAGTTATACTTGCCCAATCTAAAAAATTAAGGTGTCAATCGATTTGTAATAAAATTGCCTTGAAAAAGTTATTCTTGTAAAAGTTTTGTTTGTGCAAAGTTTCAATTTCGTATGTTCAACCATTCTTTAGAATTAAATTAATACAGTAACTGAAAAAATAACAAAATGGTGGCTGTGTGAGTAACTAAGGACTTCCGGACAATTTAAATATGATATGTAGGTATGTTAACTCTGTTTTTCTTTTTGATTCTTGAGTTTTTGTTTTTCGATTTTGGAGATTTTCTTATTTATTAAATTAGGGTTATAGCCATTGGCTTTTGCTACGTTTTCTATGATTGGTTTCTCGTTTTCATAGTCTTGTTTAGTCATCGGAATTTAGAGCATTCTGTGTATCAGTGAATTAAAACTTGCCATTTTGTGTTGCCATGGGGCGTTGGAATTTATTGGTATAACGAGGTCTGTTTGGGGTTCTTTTCTATAAATTTTGAATAAATGTTTTGTATTATTTCTTGTAATTGTCAAATATAAAAAGTTGAAACTACGTGTTTTATTTCTATTGTAAATTTTATTTGGTTAGATATTGTGTTTGTCATTTAAGAACTGATTACATGTAGTTTCATTCCCTTTGAAAAGACAAATTACGCCATCTACGTACTTATATCAATATATAATCTCATTTTTGTGTGGATTGCAATCGTTTAAGATTTTTGTATCTTCCATGTTTTTTAAATATACAGGGTGTTTCCGAATTGTCTGGACATATTTTGTCGACTTATTCACTGGGCTAAGACAAACATAAAACACCATATAAGTATGGGTCTAAAGTGCCAAGATTTCTGCCTGTCGGTCTGTTTGTGATTTTTAAAAATTATTTAATACCTTAGGCATTTTTCAAGATAGAGATTTAAAATTTGGTAGGAATGTGTAGTTCTTAAATTAAAAAGAACTCTGAAAGGTTCGTTCCAATATCTCAAGCCGTTTCAATATGGCGGTCATTTAAAATCTTTGATGCCAAATTTCATGAAAACCGTAAATATTAAGAACATTGTTTACCCTACCAAAAGGATATAGAATTTCAATACAAATCAAATGATACCTTGGTTGTTAAAATTGGATGAAAAATAACTGAGTTATCAGTTTTTTCTACATTCGGATACGCAATTTAATAGGACTACCATGTACTCAAGTATGGTAGTCCTAATAAATTGCGTAACCGAATGTAGAAAAAAAACTGATAACTCAGTTGTTGTTCATTAGTGGTTTATGTTTCTACGTCTAGCTATCAAACGGTAAATGATAGAAATGTAATTTAAGCGTCTTTCTACGCCTAAATATATTGTCCTTCGAAACTGTTATTACAACCTTTATTCTATCTCTAAGGACAATTCGAAACTACTTCAAATGAAATATCGGAAATATTGAACACGTTTAAGACATGTTGCAGAAGATTTATGGTTTGAACAACTAACAAGTAGTACAACAACACCAAGTTTAAGGAAAACTGTGCAAAAACAACAGAGCTACGTTTAATTCTAAAAGAGTAGACGCGGAAAATTCGTAATAGTCTATCGAGGCGCGCAATGGATAGCAAGCAGCCCAGTCAATATAGGTTTTATTTGGGGGTGGTGCCCTTCCCACTGTTCTGGAACCACTTTCTGTCGTTCAAAGATCTGTTATAAAAACTATCTTAAATAAAAACTCTAGATTTACTTCCTTGCAACTGTTTTGCCACTTTCCAGTTTTAAACATTCGCCAATTGTTCATAAACAATCTTCTTATTTTCATAAAACTTAATAAATGTTCGGTTTTTTTCTCCTGTTCAACATCATTATTTGACTAGAAGTAACATTAACTTCGGATTTTCTTTTCCCAGACTTTCCCATTCAACCCTTAAAACTATACCTTTTTACGTTTGTCATACATTGTATCGAAACTTGCCTTCACATATACGAGAGGCGGAGAGTGACAGCGTCGTTGTATTTAAGCGTAGAGTCATGAGCTGGCTATTAAATCTCGGCAGGGAGCAATCAGAAGGATTACTCAAATCGTTGTACTCATATTTTTTTGCAGTTTCATTCATCACCAAAATAACGTTTTTTTCTTCATTTCTATATACCACTTACAATCACTAAAGTTGAATTTTGGATGTTTCGATGCAGTTAGGTTTCTTCATTTCATCTTATTAATATTTTGTTATATTACTATCATCATTAATTGTCTAAGTACTCCTGAATATTTATGGACCTGTGTATAGCTGTATTAGCAACCCATTCCCAAACACAGACGGATAGTCTACTTGGGAATTATTTTTCATGTACATACACAATTTTAACAACATGTAATATTTATTCAGGAATAAAGAGATTTTGATTTGATTTGATTTGATTTATGTTGGAAGTAATTCTGGGAAATCTGGATTTTTCTATACTGTCAAACCATGTTGAGATGGGCAATTTCCAAAAGTCCCCATTTCCCCCCCTTGTGCTTTCCTCTTAAATCCCCAACCCCCGTTTAGATAATTTTACAGTCTCTTAGAAAGTTAGCTACTGTTTAAAATTAAAACGGGTAAGGATAACAATGCAATATTTTGTTAATCCTTTCTGCGATAAGATTTTCTACAAAAAGTGTATTTACCATGTAAGCCTAAATATTCATAGTTTTGACCAAATAACTTACACATGGGAGAAAATATGTGTTAGATTACCGATACAGTTTATTTTATTAGGAAATAGAGTCAACTTCTTATGGGTCGATCCCCTTTATTTTTTAAAGATGTTTTTAGGGATGGTTACGAATATTATTTTCTGCGTTCAATATTTCCAATATTTAATTTTAAAGTAGTTTCAAATTTCCCTTAGAGATAGAAGAAAGGTTGTAATAACTTAGTTGTAATAACCGTCTTGAAGGACAATATATTTAGGCGTAGATATACGGTTAAACCACCTTTCTATCATTAGCCGTTTGAGAGTTAGACGTGGAAACATAAACCACTAACGCGCACAACTTCCCTCTCCTCCCAGAGTTGTGACAACCCTAGAAATGCTACATCATCGATTTTTTTCATCTAATGGAAATCCCCAACAATAATAATAAGTCAAATTTTGTCAGGCTTTCAGTGCATGCTCAACCCGTTTAGAGCCTGGACTAAACATTTCAACATTTATTTAAACACAAGATTAATTACACACTGTATTTCCAGTCAGAGCTGCAGAATGATTATGGTCCAATCATTTTGGGGGAAAAATGGAGTGGAACAATGGACTTTGAAATGAGGCTGGACTTGGTTACAACTTCATCTTTTGACCAGAAGGTGATTGGTTACTGGAAATCAAAAGACAAAGATCTTTTTATTTTTGAAAACATATCTAGCATCAAAGCAAAGCCTATTTACAAAGTTGCTGTTATTGTGGTGAGTTGGTCCTTGTTGTACGGTAATTACTTTAAAGTTTTAATATAGGTACTTCAGTGGCGGATAGATAATGTAAAATCTATTTAATTTTAAATCTTCATGAGATATCTGTTATTGCTATACTTTTAAAGTATACATGCATTTTCTGAAATCCAAATTAATATTAAATATTATTTTGTTATTATCTGTTATCTGTTATGCTGTCTGTTTGTTGTTATTATACTTTGTTAATGTTATTATCTGTTATTGTTGTTACGTTGCTATCTTGTTGTTATTAATTTTTGTTGCAATGATGTTTTGTTCAATGGTATATGCAACTTCTCTTATTATTTCAAATGCAATTTTTATCTTTCCATTCTACTCATATGCTTATATATATATATATATTATTTTGTAAATTGTGTATCCGTTGGAATTAATAAATAAATAAATAAATGGATAAATATATTTTGGGGGGAGCAAGATTAATTTAAGGTTAGGTTAAGAAATTTTTACAACCCCATGATACTTTATCTCAGTTTTGCAGTCTGCCACGGCGATAACTTCACGCATGATTCATGATATATAATTTATATTATGGTACCTATTTTTTCTTCATATCCATTATTTCAGCCCCCCTCCCCCTTATATTCGCCCATGAGGTACTTAATTTACTTTACCATTCTTTCTTAGGTAGTGCCAAGGACTAAAAACTTGTAACCATCACAAGTAGACTTCTCATCCCATTGTAAATTTTGAAGCTGGTTTTTCGTGTCTAGTTCATGTCCAGTGCGGCTAGTCTTGAAAAATTTTGTTTCTACTATTTTAGAGTTACCTAATTTCATGATTCAGTTATATAACTAGAGGATAAGTTATTGTTTAGGATTATGTCGTTTTATTTGGTTAAACGGGATTTTAAATGACTGAAACGACAAGATACAAATTGTAAACAAAACACGACATCTACAGTGCACCGGGCAGAACTAACGATAAAATTGGCTTCAACTGTTCTACCAAGGGAGTATGTTTTATCTATGGTAGAAACATTGACTTTTAGATACTGAAGTATGAAAAAATAAAAGTTGATTGAGCCACTCAGAGAATGTGCTACAGTATGAAATTCTATTCTTCCTTGATGTAACATAAAATATACTAGCTTGCAATACGTCCTAACACAAATTTGGTAATGAATAGGTTCAACAGTAGGCTTACTCCACTGACAAAAATATATAAAAATGCACAAATAAACACGTAACACATAGAATTTTGAAGCAACTAGCTCCTTGAGTCTTTCTATGTTATTGTACCTTGTAGGCTTGAAGCCATATTTACCAAAAACGCCATAATAGATCTTATCAGCTTGACTTGGTTAAAAAGTTACGTGGCGTATTCGGCAGAAATCGGTAATTTAGAACAGCACACTCTGTCAGTGGCTCAATTCGACTACTGTGCCTCCATTTTCATTCTAAAACTGGCAACCACTTTTAACATGTCATACGGAATGTCTAGTTATATCAATAGTCAAAGGTAAAACTTAGTACAAAGTTTTCTCCTAGCATTTTAAATCTCAATCATGAATCAAAGGATCCTCAATGCATATTTTATGATGGGTTGAGTGCTAGTGGATATTTAATTTCAATTTTATATTAATTTGCTAGTAAATAATAACATGCCCTTCATGTTAGTATTATTTTTAGTTTCAATTCCAACAGTTACCAACGCTTGATCAAAAACGTTCGCTTCGAATAAAAACATGTAAATAACATAAATATTTTAAGTATTCAAGATAGATCTATGCAGGGTGATCAACTCAAGGAGGCCACCATTGGGATATCGGAAACGGTAAGAATTAGAGACAACTTTAAATGGGGACATCCTGCACAGGCACACGGCCATACCGTGGCACCTTGAATAATTGTAGCACCTTTTTCAGGGTGCCACAGCTAATCATTTTTGGGGTTTTCCAGCATTATTACGTCGTTAAAACATCACATGCCACAATTGAGTATTTTTCACCTCGTCGATGTGTGTTTAAGTAGCGCAGGCACACGCCGAATTGTGGAACACGAAACCATGCCAGCAGCTAGCGCGCCTCGCGTCGTCCACCGGAACTACAACTTCCTTAATACTGCGTTGCCAATTCTCGCGCTAGCCTACACTCATGTTTTTGATAGTGGCACCATGCCGCAATTCAGTATACATCAACAGTGTGTGGACAAGATGACACTAAATGCGTTGTAGGTCATAATAAACTAATAATACTGTACTGCCACGTACTATAAAACAATTTAAGTACCGTACCATAAATAATATACTTTTGCTCTGAGTGGTGATTGATGTTTTACATTACAAATAATTTGTGTAGTAAATAATTATTTCAATTGTTTTTATGCCACCATTTAAAATTTATATTTTTAGAGACAAACATAAATTGGTAACGTAGTTACTTTGTATTAATTGCATTTTTACATTGAAACAATAACAATGTTTTAGGTTAGAACACTATATAAAATGCTCTATGCTGCAATTTTTTATCTTACAAACTATTTCGTGCTGATACTTCTATTTTATTAACATTCTATTCATGCTGACAAAATATTTTACAATTACATTTCTGAATCAAACACTAAAGGTAGATTTCGAACAGACTGTAATGAAATACATAATAACAGATTGTAATGAAATACATAATACCTCCACAAAACTGTATTAACGGGACCAGAGTACAAATACGCGCATGGTGTTTCATTTGTAGGAGGCAAAATATTCAAATCATATTAATTTGTGATTTCCAATAGATTTTGGGTTTCCTTAAAAACAGTTATATAAAACTGTCTGCAAAAGTCGATAAAACTAATTTAAAAAAAAATTTAGATTCTTCTGTTGCTCTGTAGGCGACTATTTTGGTCATAAAAGGAAGTCCAAACTTATATCTTAGTTTGAAAAAAGTCATCTTGATTTTACATTGCACAAGATACATAATCGACACATTTACTTAAAAAAGTAGTGAAGACAGTAACTTGTGAAATGGACCGCACAGGCAGAGGAACAGTCTAGACTTGCCTCTAAGACTGACGTTTTCCAAACGAAAATAGAAGTTAGATCTTCATTCTTAATTTTAGGCTTGAAATAAGTTTGTTTGTGGGTAATAGCGAATGAGTAATAAATTAATTGGATTGGGTGAATGGAAGTAGCACAATAAACATCCATTTGTCGGAAATTTTGTTCTAGCAAATGTGTACCGGTACTCATTAAGCTTTTTATAAAATCTGCAGGGCATATTAACACAGAGAATAGAGAAAAATGTATCCTTTCTCTTCTTTAATAATTTAACATGAATGAAATATCATTAAGGTAACTGAAAAACAGTATGGTTTGCTGCACAAAGAAATATTGTTGATTGGTTTCAGCTTCCACCATTTACAATGGTAACAAAGGATGAAAGTGGCAAAGAGATGTACAAAGGCTATTGTATTGACCTTATTGATGAAATCAGCAAAATGTTGGGGTTTGAGTACCAGATGTACAGAGTTGCAGATAACACACCTGGAACCATGGACGAGCATGGCAGATGGAGCGGGATTGTGAAGGAGGTTCTGGAAAAAGTAATTATTTTTATTTAACCATATTTTAAGTTGGAAATGTTTCCCTACCAGTCATAGTCTCAGGCCCGGTTCTTCACTTTTTCTTTTGTAAGCGAACAACATTGCAGCACCACCCCCCCCCCCCCTCTCATAAAAAACATATATGGTACCAGTAGTCAGTGCCGGATTTTGGTAAAATCGCTTCAAACTCCGCAAACAAAAGGGGGCTGCAGCATTTTGTACTTCAACAGTTTTTACAAACAAAAAAACTTGTATTTTATAAAATTAATTATTTGCCACAAATGCGGGCAACGATCAAGATGTCCCGTGACCTCAGGAGATGTTCACTATTACGCAGGAATCGCAGGTGGCAATGATGATGTCCCGTGATCACGGGAGATGTTCACAATCTCGTAGCGACCGCGGCAATAAAAATATAATTATGACCTGTGATTGCGGGAGATTTTCCTGATTTCATGGTGGTCGCAGGTGGGAATGATGGTGTCCGGTGATCGTGGGAGATGTTCACCTTTTTGCAGCAATTGTGGGTAGCAATGATGATGTCCCTTGATCGTGGGAGATATTCACAATCTCGCAGCGATCGCGAATAACGTTCGTGATTGCAGGGTTACTGAATTTTCATTTGCCTGATTGGATTTACTCTAAAATATCTCCTTAAAAATATCACATTTTATTTCCTATTTAAATAGTATTTGTTTAACGAGTACTTGGGTTTGCTGCAAAAGGGAGGATAAAAAAGTGTTTTTGTATGTGAAATGTTAATAGTTTAGTATGAAAGAAATATATTTTACAAAATTGATCAAAATATGTTCATAAACAAGCAAATTACAATGATTTACTTATTCTCCATAAGAATAACATGGAAATTGTAATTTACAATTTTGTTGGAATTTTCTCCGTAACCAATAGGCGCATTATAACACTTCAATATACTAAATTATTTGCTTTTAAGCTCTACAAAATAGTTTGGAAATAGATTACAAAATTAAATTTGTTATTTCACAATCCGAATTATTTTTCATTTCATCAGAACACATTCCATTATCAGGGGAACGGACCCAGGGAAAGTTTAAAGACTAATGCACTGCAGTACGGTACATATTTCCCAAACCAATGAATAAATATATCGTTCACTATTGAGGGCTACCATTATTATTAGTAATTGAAATAAATAATTAAACATTTAGTACCCTTTAGTTATTAATTTATTGAATAATTAGGCCTTCCCAAACCAAATCATTTTGCATCCCTTTAAAACACATTTCAATATCAGAACAAACCTAGAGCATATCTTTGACCTAAATATGGTATTTCCCAAACTAAATTGTTTTGCGTACCTTCAGAACACATGCTGTTATATGGTGAATCAATAAAATAGCACTTGTATCACTTCAGAAGGGCTAAAAGTACAATAACTACCAGAAGTAAACATTTACATTTATTTATACATTCTATCGGTAGAGTAATTTAAAAACATTTAACAAAAACAGTTATACTGACTAAAAACAAATATGATATATATAAATCGATATTCAAAATACATCAACATTGTAATACTTAAATACTTTTAATTGAAATTGGGACCTGTAAATATGTGGTTTCCCTGGACACTAAATTAAAATACCTAGCTCAATAAAATAAAAGGGCAAACTGAATTATTAAACTCAACACTTTTAATTCATCCAACTAAAGAAGACAAAGATTAGACTATTATTGTTTTTAACAACACATTTAACAATTTAACCATCTGGTATTCATCATTGAAGTATAACATTAAAAACAGACATGTGGCAAATATTAAATTGCACTCAACACCCCTCCTCAATTTAATAATTTTACATTTGACACAATTAACAAACAAACAATCCTAACATCTTTCTCAAATTGCCAAACCGAGGTGCAGGCAGACTTTTTGTAAAAATGTCTGCAATCTGATTTTCCGAACATATATATTCTGCAGACATGATTCTCCGCTGGTGAAGTTCCCGCACAAAATTGTATTTAACATTCACATGTCTCAATCGGCGATGCTCCCACTTCTGTAGAAGTCGTATGCAAGATTGATTATCTTCCAGGATGCGGATTGGTAACTTAAGCAAAATTTGAAAATCTTCTATCAGATACTTCATCCAGAGTAATTCGGCTGCTGCTGTTGCCAAAGCTACATATTCCGCCTCTGTAGATGATAACGCAACACTAGATTGCTTCTTTGCTGCCCAACTTACAGTACTTCCAAACACTTGTATGAGATAACCTGAGGTCGATCTTGAATCTCCACTTTTATTCCAGTTTGCATCAGCGTAAGCCAGAATAATGTCATCTTGTTTGCTCTTTCGATAACATAATTTTAAGTCGATTGTTCCTTTTATATATCTTAGGACTCTCTTCAAACATTTCCAGAGTTCTTCTGCTGGGTCACTTTGATGCCTGCTTAGGAAATTTACTACAGCACTCAAATCTGGCCTTGTACCTAGCATTGCATACATTAAGCATCCGATTACTTCTCTGCACGGCTTATCAGTCCTTTTTCCGCCTTTGATTTCTAGTTTTACTTCCATTGGCGTTTTGACTGGGCAACAATCTTGCATGTTAAATCGTTTAAGAAGACTCTTTAGGTAGGCAGTCTGACTTAAGTACATTTCCCCCTCACTCCTGGAGATTTCGATTCCCAAAAATGTTTTTGGTTCTCCCAATTCCTTGATTTTAAACTTCTCATTCAACTTTACTTTAATTTCCTTGATTTTCTCCCTATTATTTCCTGCCATGAGAATATCATCAACATATAGCACAAGATACACAACAATATCATTTTGTATCATAACGTAAAGACATTTGTCGGATTCTGATTGGGTGAAACCAACTGAAATGAGAAATGAATGAATAGCTTGATTCCATGCTAATGGTGCCTGTTTCAAGCCATATAGCGCCTTTTGCAATTTGCAAACGGAGCCGGGTGTTCCTTCAACTCCTTCAGGAATGGACATATATATTTCCTCCTTCAGTTCACCATGAAGAAAAGCATTGTTGACGTCTAATTGTTCAAGAATTAATCCACGTTCGTTTGCTACAGCCAGCAACACCCTAACTGTTGCAAGACGAACCACTGGAGCATATGTTTCTTCATAGTCAAAACCCTTTCTCTGTGAACATCCTTTGATAACAAGTCTTGCCTTGTATCGTTCAATATTTCCGTCCATGTCTTTCTTCAATTTGAAAACCCATTTACTGGAGATAGCTTTCCTTCCAGGTGGTAGTTCAGTGTAAGTCCAAGTTTTGTTCTTCCTTAACAGCTTGATACCAATGATCCTTATCATCACGTGCTGCAATATCCTTGTAACTTTGCGGTACATCATCGACAAAAGATTCAGCATTCAGAGCAAGAACTGCATAATCCTGTAAGTATCTTGGCACATTCCTCTTTCTGGTAGAGTGTCTTATTGTTTCTTCTTCACTTACATGATCTTCAATTTCTTCTTCCTCTTCTTCAAGATCTGGTATAGAAATTCTTTGATTTTCATCAGACAATGATCTGGGTTCTTCTTTGTTCTTGTCTTCCTTTTTACTCGATCTGGATTCATGTACATGATCGGGAATCCAGTCTTCAATTGGTGTGCTCTCAAAGTTAAATTTTTCCTCATAAAACACAACATTTCTTCCAGTGATTATTTTTCCTTCTTCAGGACACCACAGTCGATAACCATTAGGACAATATCCAGTAAAGTAACACTTCAAGCACTTGCTGTCAAATTTACTCGATATTAATTCCTTAGGTAACAGCAAATATGCTGCACAGCCAAAAACTCTTAACTTACTAAGATTAGGCTTCTCATTGTACCATAAAGCAGCAGGGATCTTTCCTCCTAAAGCTGATGTCGGACTTCGGTTGATTAGATATACGGCAGTTCGAACAGCTTCTGACCAAAATGTCTTACCTAATTCACAATTAAGTATTAAACAACGAGCCCTTTCAACAATAGTCCTGTTCATTCGTTCTGAGACACCGTTCTGTTGAGGAGTATATCTGATTGTGAACTCATACTGAATTCCTTGCTCCTCAAAAAACTGCTTCAACTCATATGACATGTATTCACGACCATTGTCACAACGAAATCTGCTAATCTTTAGATTGAAATGAGATGTAGCCAAAGCATGATACATCTTGACGTATCTTGTGACTTCCGCCTTCGATTCTAGAGCATAGGCCACCGTGAAATGAGTAAAGTCGTCAATAAAAGTGATGATATATTTCTTACCGTCAAATGAAACTGGTGAGATTGGACCACACAAATCACTGTGAATCAACTCAAGAGGTCTGGTGGCACGTCTCCTGTTCTGATTGTAAGGAAATTGTGATTGTTTCCCTTCAACACACTTTGAACACTTTTCTAAGGGTAATGTTGAAGTATTCAACTCCATCCCATCTACCTGCGACCTGAGACTTTTAATACAACCATAGCTCAAATGACCAAGCCTGTCATGCCACAGTTTCATTTCTGTTTCAGTTGAAGACACGTACAAAGCTTTGTGTTGCAAAAAATTTAACACATATAACTGAGAATTGTTTCTTTTTGCAACCGCAACAGTTTGATTATCTTTCTTAATCAAGCCACATGAATTTTGAAAGATAACACAAAAACCATTCATTTCCAATTTTCTTACTGAAAGTAAATTGTGACTAATTCCAGGTACAGATAAAACATCTTTGATTGTTATTTTAATTTCCTTCCCTTCCACAACACTAGTGACATACAATTCCCCTTTACATTTTGCTTCAAGATAAGTTCCAGACTTGGCTACTTTGATTTTAATAGGTTGTTCTAATATCTTAAAGTTAGAGAGACATACCTCATTACTGTTAACCAGATGTTCTGTTGCTCCAGAGTCTAATATCCAATTTATGGTATCTGCTGAACAGTCTTCACTTGATGTTCCAAAACAAAATGCATCTTCCTGTTTGGTGTCGACCACGTTCACAGAATTATTTTTCTTTGATGGGTACTGTGGTAATTTGACTCTGCAGATAGCTTGTTTGTGTCCAAGCTTTCCGCATCTGTGACAAGTGAAATTGAACGAGTTGCCAGAAGTTCCTTGATTTCCTGGAACATTTTTCTTTTTCCCTCGTTGAGACTGGAAGGCAGTAGGAGGTGATGTACAATCAAATTCCATTTTTTCAATGCCCCTCCTCTTTGTCTCCTCTTCCAGCAGTCTGACCTTCACAAAGCTCAGAGTTAAGTCCTTCATTGATAGAGTCTCTATGGCCGTGACAACGACGTCATATTCTTTCGGCATGGTCAGTAGTAGGTGACAAACAATGTTAGATTCCTCGACAGTTGCTCCTGTAGAACGTAACTCTCTTATGACTTTGTCAAATTTCAGAAAGTGACGATTTAAAACGTCATTCTTCGCATCAAACTTCATTGTTAGTAACTGCTTCCTTAGTAGAAGTTGGCTAGCTATTCCTTTCCTTTCAAATGTTTTGCAGAGAGATTGCCATAGTTCAAAAGCAGTTGCCTTGTCTTTTGCATATTCCAAATGGCTGTCGGCAATACGCTGTATAATCTGCGACTTGCACTTTCGATCTTGTTTCGCTAATTCCAACAACCTTGCTTCCTTCCTCTCTCGTTGTTCATCTGTGTCTTTATCCAGAAATTCAACTTTGGTAACATACGATTCCTTTACAAAAGATAATAATTCTAATTCCTCCAGCAGAGTTTCAATTCTAAATTTCCAATTGCTGAAATTGGTTCCATCCAACAATGGTATTCGATACTTTTCATGTTCAGTTGCCATATTAATTCAATTTCATTAGCCAGGTAAAAAAATATTAACAAATTCCGTATTTAAACAGCCCTGGGCCCATAACCAGTGTTGCGTTATCATCTATAGAGGCGGAATATGTAGCTTTGGCAACAGCAGCAGCCGAATTACTCTGGATGAAGTATCTGATAGAAGATTTTCAAATTTTGCTTAAGTTACCAATCCGCATCCTGGAAGATAATCAATCTTGCATACGACTTCTACAGAAGTGGGGGCATCGCCGATTGAGACATGTGAATGTTAAATACAATTTTGTGCGGGAACTTCAGCAGCGGAGAATCATGTCTGCAGAATATATATGTTCGGAAAACCAGATTGCAGACATTTTTACAAAAAGTCTGCCTGCACCTCGGTTTGGCAATTTGAGAAAGATGTTAGGATTGTTTGTTTGTTAATTGTGTCAAATGTAAAATTATTAAATTGAGGAGGGGTGTTGAGTGCAATTTAATATTTGCCACATGTCTGTTTTTAATGTTATACTTCAATGATGAATACCAGATGGTTAAATTGTTAAATGTGTTGTTAAAAACAAAAATAGTTTTAATCTATGTCTTCTTTAGTTGGTTGAATTAAAAGTGTTGAGTTTAATAATTCAGTTTGCCCTTTTATTTTATTGAGCTAGGTATTTTAATTTAGTGTCCAGGGAAACCACATATTTACAGGACCATACAGGTATTTTAAGCCAAGTATGAATGGAGATGAGTGTATAATACAGTAGTTGTACATCTTTGTGTGTAGACTTGTTAGGAACTAATGCCGAGATGTTCCTTAGACACAGCATTTAATTAACTGTGAAGTTATGTTTTGCAAGAGACGGTTCTTGGGAACTATCGCTAATCGATTTGTTTTGTATCGGAGCTCGCTAATTCTTGTACTTTGACTCCGCAAATTAATATTTTCTTTTCCTCCTCTTCTCTAAGTAATATATTCGCTGCCAACTGTGCTTATTCTATGACGGCCAAGAGTGCAATATTTCACTAGTCACTAGTCGTGGGAGTCGCAGGAGTCGTGGCATAGGAATTAAGACAAGCGTCTCGAGCCGTACGGCTCTAAACGCATCAGTCGCCGATAGGAATTGGACCTAAACTTTATCTTATCAACTACAAACAGAGTACCGTAGCAAAGCAGCACAACAATCAAACTGCTTCTCTTGTAGAATACACTTCTTATTAGGAATAGCCACCAGTGACCAATTTAAGTGTCCTTTGCAAAATTACGACTCCTCCCCTCTGAAGAATTTCTACAGCAAAAATAGGAGTTGAGCTTGTAATTATGAATGCTCAAACAATACATTTCCTGCAATTTTATTTTGTGCTCTGTTAAAACTATTATATTAGGGCTGATTTAGTCCAAAGCGATTTGTAAGGCCTCCAATTTTGTGGCTAATCCTTGGCTAATTATCATCTTTTGATCAAAATTGTTGTATTTTTGAATTCAGGATCAACATTCGAGAATTTGAATTGGGATCTTAACATAACAAACAAAAATCTCTTTTAATAGAAGAATCAGTATTTCTAAGGTATCTAATTCACTGTAAGCTAAATGAAGTAGATTGTTTTAATTGTATATTAGGTAAAAGTTGTGAACTTTGCAAACTGCGTTTATAATTTATCTATATTTTCGGTCATACGAAACATTCTAGTACTATCATTCATTTAAACTATAAATAATTTAAAATAAAGGAACTTTTATTATTTTTTTTACCATTTTTGTTACGTTGATATCACTACACAGAAACATGGTACAATGTGATTATGGTTATATACAAAAAGGGTTGTTTAATACGTTATAATACTTCTAATGGTTACATGAAGTTGATATCAGTCTCATTTTAATTTCAGTCACAGAAGTATTTTAGTCCAGTAATGTATTATTAAGTGTACAATAAATTTAAATTGTTTGATTGTTTACAGAGAGCTGATATTGGTCTCAGTTCAATGTCAGTGACGGCTGAACGTGAAGATGTTGTTGAGTTTACAATGCCATTCTATGATCTGATTGGTATGAATATATTGATGAAAAAAACAAAACCATCCACAGCATTTTTTAAATTTTTTTCTGCACTAGGAAGTGACGTCTGGTTGTGTATCATAGTTGTATACATCGTCGCAAGGTATTACAATTTGTTAAACAGATTTGTTACTTAGAGTGTATGGTATAGTGTTTAAATCTATGAGCGTCATGTTTTAAAAGTAATCTTTTATTATCTTTTTGCAGGTTTTTTTTTTAATCTGTGAGTTTAATTTTATATTTGATAATATCCTTTTAAATTTTTTAATATCAGGAGCAATTCATTATTCTGTTAAGTAGTGGCAATATAGCAAAGATAAGTCACTTTAGGCGTTTTTCCCATTAGAATAACATGGGGATAATTTTTTTTAGCCACCAATTCCAAAAATCCTGATCTTTTCCTACATATCCCTATATAATTGTCAAACCTTATTTCTTACTCATTCCCTATATATATATATATATATATATATATATATATATATATATATATATATATATATATATTCGATATCAAGATAAAAAAGCTATTTATTTCATTTATTGACCCATACAAGTGTTAATGTAAAGTAGTAGTAATATAGGAAAGATAAGTCACTTTTGGCACGTTTTCCCCATAAGAATAACATGGTGAACTTTTTTTAACCTCTTTTTTTAATACTGCTCTCGGCCTATAAAAGCCTATCTAAATGTTCAATACTATTGTACAACTCCATAAACATTTCAAATCCACATCCATTCACATGTATTTTCTCAAAATCACCGACTTGACAGTGCGAGGTTTGCACGCCAGCTCGGGAGCGCTCCCGGCAGTGGGCATGGGCAAGCTCCCGCTTCTCGCTTCGTGCTTCTTGTCCCAGTGGCAGCTTGTGATTGAGTCCTGGGTGGGCAACCTCCCGGTGAAGTTATTTTTAGCTAAACATTTTGAAATTTATTCCTTAATTTTTAGTTAAAAATTTTGAAATTTATGTAAAACTTTTGGAAATTTATGTAAAAATTTCTTAATTTCTAGATACAATTTTTTAAATGTTCGAAAAGTCTATATATAGAGGTGGCATCAGCCCGAAACCTCATTCCTAAACATGAAGCCGTCATGTCAACACTGCTCCGTGTCGCTCTCCAACAAAAGCAACCTGATTCGCCACTACAAGGTAATACATCAAATGAAGGTGAAACTGTGCAAAGTTTGTGATTTAATCTGTGATAATAACATGGCTCTAAAATCGCATATATTACAAAGTCATAAGACTTGTAATTTCTGTAAAAAATATGTTGTTGGACATTTCAGAAGACATATAAATTCTTGCAACAATTTTCCATACACAATGATTAAATTTGTTGGTGAATCGATTAGAGCTGAACTTGAAAATACTCTCAAGTCTTGTCCTCTGCCAATAAAATGGACTATAGTAAGGAGAATCTAATTTTTAAAATATTCAATGGATCAAAATGGAAAATTAAAAGTAACTGGCAAGCTTAAAGACTAATTAGATGGTCATATTATGTATGAATATTGTGGTTTAAGACCAAAGTTATATTCTTACATTCCTCTAAAATGGTTATATGAAGAAGACAAGCAAGCTTTTGAGGTCAAGAAAGCTAAGGAAGCTGATAGTGCCACAGTTAAATATCTCCTCAGACATCAACATTATTTGAACTGTCTTGCAACTGGGCAAGATTACTATGAGAATGTGACGAGAATTAAATCTACAAACCATCACCTTCAAACCTTGACCATGAATAAGAAAGTACTATCCTTTGACGATGACAAGAGGTTTATTCTAGAAGATGGCATCAACACTCTTGCTCTTGGTCATTATGAAATTGATCAAACATAGCCAGTAAGGACTGACCCAACCTCTGCCAAATCCTGAATACGAGCCTGGAGACATGGACAACGGACCCAGGATCAATTGCATGTGTATATAAACCTGTGTCATAGGATATAGAACACTGAATAAATGCAAATGTTAAAAACTTCAGTCTTTCACTTATTTACCCTTACCACCCTCTTAGTTATTATAAAATTGATCAAACATAAATAATCTATATTTGGCATTATTCTTTGACCATTCCTTGTCTATTATGAAAAGTCCATCCAACACAGGTGACAGAGATTTTTAATTCGTTCAAATGACAAGTCATTACCAACATGATTGTTATATATACATGTTTTAAATTTAAATCACATTGTTTAGATATTATTAAGAAATTTATGTTATCACCCAAATGTTTGTGTGCTTTGCTAAGTAAAGGCAGTTAATATTTTTATGTTGACCTATAGAGAAAACTTTTATAATATTTGGACTATTAAAGCCTATTCATGTATTAGTCCAATCAAAGTTCTGTTACAATCCAGTCACAGTTGCATCCATAATTTATCAATCAACCTGTCCATCATTTGGTTACAGTCAGTTTACCGACTCTTTATTTGTTTATGTTACATTTGATTTTTTAATTAAAACGCAATATTCTATCAAATGTTCAGCATCCATTTTTGTTGATTGTTATAAACAGTACTTAATATACAAACATACGTCGTCGTCAGGCAGGCGTCCGAAAATCTAAAAATATCGTTGAGAAGAAATCAGTTGTTGTATTTGACGACATAAAAGTCGATTCACACACGACCCGTCACAGTTCAATCACATCAGTTACGTCACAGTGTATACAACAACTGACTGTGACTGTGATGTGAATTTGTGTGTACTTCGTCACACAAATTTTACAAAATTTTCACAAATTTCACACAATTTTCACACATTTCACACAACTATCATGATGACATAAAAGTCGATTCAAACACGACACGTCACAGTTCAATGATATTAGTCACGTCACAGTGTATACAACTGACTGTCACTGTGATGTGAATTTGTGTGTACTGTACTTTGTCACACAAATTTCACATAAGTTAATTTTCACATATTTCACACAACAATCATGATAGGACCGATTTACTTTTTCATTTTGAGGTCCCCAGAGGCAAAAAACACCATCCGTTTATATTCATATATATATATATATATGAAACTAAGTACCCTTTTAAAAGAAATATATTTTAATTGAACAACGACTAGTTTTGACAATTATTTCATAATCATGTTGTTTTTACATCCAACAAATACAATAAACATTTTATCTAAATAAATAAAATCATATGATTTCGTAGGTTTTGATGACTTTAGATTTCTTCTGTTTTAAATGGTTTTTATACTATGTATAATAATTTTTTCTCTTAATCTAACTGCAGGATTTTATCAAATATTGGATTGGATTTGTTGATGTTCATTATGTTTAGTAAATTTTCTGGGCATTGTTTATAGTTTTTGTATATGTCACACATGTAATTTTGATTTGTCTTTTTCATATTCAAGGATTTTTTAATTTTCTTGTATGCTTTTGTATTTATGGTCTGTTTGTATCAAATGCTCTGCAAAGTTGGATTTCATCGTTGTGCTGTTTCCTGATTTTAAAGTTTGAATGTGTTCCTGGAATCGTTTTTCAAAATTTCGACTTGTTTGCCCAATGTAGGACTTATCACAATTAAAACATGTGATTTTATAAATACCTGATTTTCTTATATTGTCTTGATTTTGGTTAGCTATATTTTCTGTTGAAATTTTTTATTGATCATTTGAAAAGCATTATTTTTTTGTTTTATAACTGATTAATACATTTGAGCAGTCGAACGTTTTTCTTATGGCTTTATTAGTTTTGGTATTATATGGTAAACAAATAAATTCACAACGATGAAATCTAACTTTGCAGAGCATTTGATACAAACAGACCATGAATACAAAGCATACAAGAAAATTTAAAAATCCTTGAATATGAAAAAGACAAATCAAAATTACATGTTAAAGAAGATTTTTACTTATACAAAAACTATAAACAACACCCAGAAAATTTACTCAACACAATGAACATCAACAAATTCAATCCAATATTTAAAAAAAAACCTGCAGTTAAATTAATAAAAAAAGTTATTATATATAGTATAAAAACCATTTAAAACAGAAGAAATCTAAAGTCATCAAAACCTATGAAATCATATGATTTTATTTATTTAGATAAAATGTTTATTGTATTTTTTAGATGTAAAAACAACATGACTATGACATAATTGTCTAAACTAGTCGTTGTTTAGTTAAAAAAAAAATTATAAGGGTACTTAGTTTCAAATAATGTATATACAATATAGGAAATTCCCTAAATGGACAGTGTGTGTGGGTTGCTGAATTTTTATTCCCGGATTAGTTTTGCCAAGTGTTATTTGGAGGCTTCCGATTGGCTGAGGGAACACCATTACGGCAACGATACGGATTGATACCATCGGCCTCGGTGGTATAGTGGATAGAGTGCCGGGCTGATAAACTGAAGGAGCTGGGCTCGAATCTTACCCGTGGCACTACTTTTTTTGTCTCGGATTTTTTCATTATCACATTTTTATTATTTTTTATTATGTTTTGTTGGTTTGGTTAGGTTATGACAGTTCAATTTTATAATTTAAAAGTTATAAAATTGAATTTGAGGCATTTATGATTTTATTTTATGAACAGAACAATTTTTTTATTAACAAACCTTCATTGGATTTTTCATTATCAGAACGTTTGGTTGGTTTGGTTAGGTCATGACAGTTTAATTTCATAATAAAAAATATATAAAATTGAATTTGAGGCATTTCAAATTTTATTTTATGAACAAAACAAATTTTTCTATAACTTCTTCATTATAGTCAATCAGAATCCTCCAAATGACACTGTTGGCAAAACTAATCCTGAATAACAAATTTTGTGTGTGGGTATGTACCGCGTTTTCTCCTTAACCACGCACTGCCACTCATGGTTGTAGTTCACCCCGTTTGCCTTCATAAGTATTAATAAAACTATTGATTGGTTAAGTTAAGCTGAAATAAACAAATAAAATACAGTAATACAAACAAATAATCACTCCTAATTAAGGTAATAAATTGAAAGGATAAAAAACAAATAAGTACAGCTGAGGTATTATTAACATTAGGGTCATGGAAAGTTCTCTTTAGAGAGGAATTAATTAATTTATGAAATAATGGATAGTTTTGCGCAAGGTTTCTCATCATGACGAACATTTTAAGAATATGGTTTATGGGGGTATGACTTGTAGTTTTCTCAAAAGTTCATGGGTACTTTGGGATTTATATATGGATAGATAATGAAAATGAAACAGTTGGGCGTTCAGAATGTTAAGTTAGAAAGGTAAAAAAGTGTTTTTTGTGTTTCTTTCGAGTTTTATGGCTTGAATCTTATCTGAAATCTGAAATCATATGGCTTGGCATCTAAAACCAGCATGCAAATCTTCATACCCACGCGTGTTTTGATGCATAATTTGTGGGGTTACGTCTTAAAACAAAAAAAAACCTTATTGGGAACATCCATGTAGCGTACTGGTATTAAATATATATATAGATTACTCAGGTGTTGGAGAAAAAGCACAGACAACTGCAAATCTTATTGAACTTCCTAAACATAACTGGTTTAAACACCGTTTAACCAGTTGTTCTTTGTGTTGCTTTATCTTATACAGTATAGGCCTATCCTGTTGGTTTTTCTTTTCCGAGTTCGTTTGGATCTTCTACCTAACCGATTTTCATGGTTGAAGTCTCAAATTGAAGGTATGCACACACAGATTTCACATCAAGCATCAGCATATATTTATCTACTGTGTTACTCGACCAAAAAATATAGATTTGATTTATTTTCTTATTCTTACTTCAGTTTTAGAGGTATTTCACCAATTATAATAATATAATCCTATATATATTTGGTATAAGAACCTTCCGTAGAATGCCAGCTTTCATCTAAGCTATTAGTTTTTCAAATCGGACGAGTTTCAAGCAAACGCAAGGTGAACAACCAACATAAAAATGATTTTTATAAGGTTTATTAAAAATCAATAGCGCATGTATAGTTTATATGTTTTTTATATGTCTTTGACTCAAAATAATCAGTAAATTATAGGCTTTAATTTGAGCTATTAATCGTTTGAATATCAGTTACGTTCAAGATATTGTATTCCTCAGTAAAAAACATAAATTTGATAATTCTTGGATATTTGAGCGGAGCGAAACAAAGCTCTTTGGGATCTACTTCAATGCAAACTTTCCAACACATTAACTCAATAACGGCTGAACATATTTTAGCTAAACTTACCAAGGTTGTTTTGTCAAATGTTTGGAAGGTTTAAACGAAACCAATTTCAATTTTTGATAATGCCTATATAATTTATAAGTATTACTCAAAGTTTTTAAATTTTAACATTGGCCTTATGAGTTGTCGTGATGGTGACAAAATAATGACGTAAATGTAAACAAAACAAAGAATCATAGCATATGTTAAAATCAAACCACGACCTAAACACAGTACAAAGGGGAAAAAATTCGGATGATGACCATTGATCAAATAATACAGAGAAGGTCTTAAGTTTACATTTAATACGCAATTTGGAAACGACCACTGATGGAATAGGTACAGTATTTTATAGATATGATTTACGTAGTAAAATAAGGTTATAACAAATAAATAACATTTACCTTATGTTATTGGGAATTAAAACAATTACATGATTTTGCAGTTTTAAATAACTAGGCATTCTCAAATCAATATTTTTATCTAAATAGGCTCTTATGAATTGGGAACATTCTTATTATTTACTTTGAAATATGTTTTATAATATTATCGTGTTGACAACACACGTGTTGTATTGATTGTTGTTTTGGCAATGACTTGGGGTATTATTGCCCAAGAATAATAAAGTATTTTTTGCGTGTTCATTTTACAAGAAAATGCCTAATTCGCATTTAAGAGTGTCATATTAAGGAAAATTTCAGAATGCATTCTCAAAAACTGCTTTATATTTGTAGAACATGAAGACGGACAATAAACGCCCGAAACGCACGAACTTTTACTTTCTGACAATGTTTTGCAATCGTTGAATATAGAACACTTGCTAGAAAACAATGCTTTTCATAATTATGTGAAATGTACAATGATTAATAAAACAAACCTCATAAGGTATGGTGACAACTATTTGTGCAATTCTATCAAAGCTGGCAAGTATTTAAAAAGTTGCATCTGCCAACCGTATGGATCCATGCAGGATTATTTCTGCCTGAATTTCAAAATCAGGTCAATATTGAGAAAAAATGTCGATTGGATTAGGTTCAAGGTCGGGTATAACCAGAATTGTGGGTTCATAAGTTGACATTAGCAAGCAAACACAGTAAAAATACCGATACAAAGGATATATACTGTCCACATATTTTTTCTTATGAAACTTGTTAGATGTTAATAGTTCTGAGCGAAAATGAAGTTAAATTGATTAAATAGTTGTATTTTGTATTACATTTAAACATTTTTTTATTTAATGATTTATTAAAAACCATGAAACGTGATCGCTCCGCTCAACTGGTTTTCCCTGCTATGAAAGCAATCCTAGTATTTCTCGGATATGATTTTTGTATTTCAACGTCGTGGAGCAGCATGGGTCCACTAGTATAAACTTATAAAAATCTTCCGAAAAAATATTAAAAGTCACACCAAACAAAAGAGAGATTTTAGTGATACATTCATGTTGAAACCGAAACTACTTTAAGTGATGACGGAAAATGTAACGATACAAACTAAGCAAGAACTGAATTGGGAATCCACATAGTCTACCATCCTATGATTTGGAAACTATGATTTGGGATCGACTTTTGAGTGTACATTATGTAATTTAATGAATGGTAATACTGTTTACAGTGCTTTGATCTGGACCTTTGAGCAGTTTAGTCTACTGATCAATCAAGAATATCACAAGAGGTTGTGGGGAACCGAGGACAAGAGAGAGTTCATCATTAAGGAATGTTTATGGTTCTGTATGACATCTTTGACTCCTCAGGTGTGTAGAGTTGAATGCATCACCAAACCAAACTTTTTTATTAATGGGTTTTTACAAACATTCGAAACAAATCTGCATCAAAGGTGGCTCAGATTATTCCGTTTGTTATGCTCCTGGAGTTATAAGTTTGATCTTCTGACTGTATTTCTCAGGGTGGGGGAGAAGGCCTCAGAACAACGTCTGCTCGAGTAGTGGCTGCCGTGTGGTGGCTGTTTGGCTTTATCTTGATCTCTTCATACACGGCCAACCTGGCAGCTTTCCTGACTGTATCACGTCTTGACACATCCATCAACTCTCTTGAGGATCTCGCCAACCAATACAAGGTGCAGTACGCTCCCATGAACGGATCACAAGGACAGACATACTTCCAACGGATGGCGACCATTGAGGCTAAATTTCAAAGGTACCGGTTATGAAATTAATGATTTGCATTTTGTAACCAAAGTAGTAATTATAATTCCACTGGTGCTTCCTTTATATTAATGCACTGAATGCACTTATCAAATTATTCCTATTGCACATGTACAGTTAGATGCAAATGAATCTTGATTTTGGGAAATCAAATAATGGTAGGCCTATTAAAAACTGACACATACTTTTCCCTTTATGTAGTCTTGAACCAAATAAATAATTTATCAAAGTTTTTGTTACCTCTTTTACATTTACTATTTTATTGATACATTTACAATTTAGTTTTACTTCCTAGAATCGAAAAAATTTATTAGCGAATTTCAATTGGTCTGATTGTAATTTTTACTGAAATATTTCCATAAACATTTCAGATGTAATCACAATTTGATTAACATTAGGCTTAACAAGTAATTAGGTTTGTTACTACGGGGAGGGAAAAAATTAGTAGTTAGATATAATTATAGTATAGTGCGAAATAAATAGGCTACATTTACCAAATTCGATGAAAATAAGGTGGACCTTATCTCGAAAACATTAATTACGATGTTTTCGTAAACTTCACACACTTGGCAATAATGGTTTTAAGTTTATTGCCAACCAAAACCGAATCACTGACCACAACTCACAACTGGCGGAATTTTCAATTGCAACACACATTTTACGTTGAAATAGCAAAAAACAGGCAGGGCGAGGACGTTCCTGTTGCCAAAACTTTGCCGAGTGCGCAGTGCACGCACCAAAATGTAAGAGAACGGTGCGCGCCTAGGGGAACAGCTCACTTACTCGGGGTAGCGGATTTCTACCCCCGGATATTTACCCCCATGAAAAAATACCTACTTCATTTTGAAGTCCCGAGGGGGCGGGGCCTATTCACGGTTGAGAAACAGCTCGCGACTGTAAATTTACCCCCAAAATATTATTAAATGATGAAAATGTAATTGCTTGCTTATAAAGTGATTTGCCATACCACAGTATTTCACCCCCGGAAATCTACACCCGGAAATCTACCCCCAGACATCTACCCCCGGACATCTACACCCGGAAATCTATCCCCAGACATCTACCCCCGGACATCTACCCTCGGACATCTACCCCCAGACATTTATCACAGGACATATATCCCCAGAAATCTAACCCCGTGGTCGGCTACGCTACGTATCGGCCAAGATTCTTTGTTTTAATTGATTTTATCAATTCATTTATGTAATGAAGAGCTTTTCGGTTAATCATTACCTTCTAATATCCAGTATTATGCATGCGATATGTCGTTGTCTTGTTTAACATTATCTATCTTCCTAATTCAATAAGCTGTAACAGTCATTTTTCACCTGACCAACTTCGCAAATTTTTACGACCGAGGTGTCATTTTATAGCTTAAGATAAATTAATTCTTGATCAGCATTGTATGTGTTAATAAATTTACGGAAAGTAAATAAAATAAACGTCTTAAAACACTTGAAACATATATTTATGCTTATACTATTACTCACAAGACGGTAAATATACAAAAAGATGGTAAATGGTGATAATTTCGATTGGACACTCCAATCATCATCAGACCCAGTAGGCGAATGTTGGCGCCTATTGGCAAAAATTTCTCATTTTTCCCAGGGAGGGGACAGTGGAGGAAAGTCCCTCCCCCCGAAAGGCTGGTAACGCACCCTAATCTCCGAATTCCCTCGCTGGTAGCGGTGGTTGTTTTGGAAATAACGCAACTTAACGAAATAAGACAACTGAGGTACATATAGACGAATGAGCTGAGCTGGCATGTGGATACCCAACTCAAGTTCAGGAAGTTCCCTGCAGACGATTGCCTGATAAGTCGCTTGCAGACTAGTCCTCAAAGACTCGCCAGTCAGTGACCGGTGGGATAGGGCTTTAGATGCCACAGAGATGTCAGGGATCATCTTTCCATGCCCGGGGTGACGGAGGTTGGAAACGTCACCTGTATTTAGGATATAGAGAGCTACCTGGCTGCCATCTCTGGGTACCCGCATAGTGAGGAGGTAGAGGTAGAGGTAGAGGTGGAGGTAGAGGTAGAGGTAAAGGTCGTGGTACCTCGATGTTACACAAATACATTGTATGTTATGAGCCTGCGCATAATGAAGAAGTCGAGGTAGAGGTGTACTTAGCGGTTTACCAGGAGGTCCCGCGCGACCGCTTTTAAAGACAAACTAGTTTGTCTTTTCGAGCGGTCTATCGCGCGGTGCTTCTGTGTGTTTGATCCGTTCAAGATCATAAGGGCCCATGAAAAATGAAGATTGCAGTATTTTGTACAATTTTCAGCTTTGGTGACTCGTTGGCGCAAATGCATGACAATGTTTCAGGTGATATCCTCATTTAGCCTACCTATTCCTGAAACTTGTCTTGATATTCCTTTAGTTGCAAAAACATATAGTAATATTCTCCCAGATCTTGGCATAGTTGAATATTGGGATGAGTAGTAAATTTTTAATTAATTTACGTACCGATCAGCCACCACTTACATGCTGATTACATGTCGTCAATGTCATCACTACTGACTCTTAACATTTTAAAAAGATTAATCAGACAACATTTCTGCTTGCAACACAGTGAAAAGACTGTATCTAAAGGCGTTAAATCAGCTCGCTAAACCTCCTCAATATGCGATGTTCCCTCTACCTATACCTCTACCTCTACCTCTACCGCTACCTCTATCTCTACCTCAACCTCCTCACTATGCGGTTACCCTAAAACATACCGCCCTCCTGTGTTTGTTTGGGGTAACCCCATTCCACCGCGCTAGCATTGAAATCCCTCCAAACAGTCACCTCACCATCGATGTTTAGGATCTCGTGCTCTAGGTGTGAAGTGGCAGGGAAAAAAATACTTGATATTTAGAAAATACTTACTCCTGCGTAGTAATTTTGCATTTAAAACTATCTTATGATAAAGTATTAAAATATGAATCCAAATACGTGAAGTTTCAAAACATTTAAACATTTGTTTGATCACTCACGAAACACAATCAGCAGTATCAGATAAGAATATCAGATTCTGCTGGTTCAAAATAGTGGGTTTTCCCCCACCACACCACACAATGTTTAAATTCTCATGTATTGTGATAATTGTAATTCTTTTTATAGGTCATGTAGGAGATGTTCTTACACACTGCTGTACATAATGCTGTTTATTTCTCAATGTTGTACAGCAATGAATCATCACAAATAATAATTGTTTGGATTTTATGGATTGGCAAACCTATATTACTCAGTATTTTCGAGCAGTATTGCTGTTTTTGTAATACATTGAAATACATTCTTTGATTATACATCACAGAACTTAAAAAGATTCACCCTTTATTTTAGTACATTTTCTTAAACCTGTCTTATGACCTCGGACCAAGGTTTCCGTGCATAAACCAACTCCTTGATTCCTGGTCCTGCTTTAATGACGCAAGCCCAAAGTGCATTAAAAAGAAACTGCTTTGGTGAAAAAGTATTATGGATTTGATGTAAGTGCCTTAATAAAGTTAAAACTTCTTGAGCAGCTGATAAACTGATATAAATGTGGTTAGGCCTACTGTTAAATAACATATTGGTATGTATAAAATGGTCTTCGTTCATCATCATACGTGACGTAATTGTGACGTAATTGATTCATAAGCAATCAAACTACAACAGTTTACTTATTCTCCTTAAAATAACATGAGAATTTTAAATTTACCAGTTTTGGGAATTCTTCTCGTAACCAATAGGCGCATAATAACGCTTCAATTTACTAAATTATTTACTAAACGCGTGCTGCGCCGCTACATCTACTCCGGGTAAAATACATTTTGAGGTGGGACAAATTGCTTTAAGAAAGTTACAGCCATATTTTGAAATCATTTATACATGATAATATACAAACAAAAATCCGACACAATCCGAGCATGGGAACACTGAAAAAGTAGACGTTTTCAAACATACGAAAATTCAATATTTTATAATAGACAATTACTGTAGTAGTCAGAGAAATATAGGATATGACCTTAAAAATGTTCAATGAAACGTTTTATGGTTTTATTTTTAGTGTTGGGTTGGCAGAGTGACATATTAAAAGTTCTTAAAAATTTGTCCACGAGAAAACCCCTAAAACGACAATAAAAAATTGCCGCTTTTCCCAAAATTGACAAATTTAAAAAAACCACATGCATTTTTATTCATATTTTTCAAGAAATTGACTTGGTACCACTGCTGATATTTATTCGTTGCTTAGTATCTGATTTCGATAGGTAACGCGTTTTCGGCTGCCATCTTGGATCGCCATATTGGATATAAATAAAATATTTTAAATGTACCAGTAATGATAGTTTTGTGACACATAATTTTAAACAATATATTTAACGCTGATTTCAATTCTGAAATCCGTTTTTAAATATCCTTTTTCGTTTTGAAGATGTATTCAAACGAAACTCTACCCAATACATTTCAAATGAGCGTTTCGTACAACATTTTTAATGATTTTCTTACATCTCCAGTTATTATTAACGCTTGCAGTTCGTTCTATAATTAAAATATTCAGTGATGTAAGGGCTGTCATTTGATTATTTTTTCTATTGACCATTAAAATCAGACGATTTGGAGATCAGCTACGAACCACAACACAATATGAAATTGACCTTAGTAGAGGCAATATGATGGTTCTATGACACTTTGAGCGTTTCTTTGGCCACCAATTCCAAAAATCCTGATCTTTGCCTACACGGCTACACATCCCTATATAATTGTCAAACCTTATTCCTCACTTATTCCCTATATGCAAAAACGCTATTCATTGGACCAGGAGCAGGAGCAACCCACCAACTGTCACATAGTATAGTAGTGTAAAAACGCTATTCACTGCAGCAGCAGCAGCAGGAGAGCAACCCTCAATTGTACCATAGCACCCCATTATGTGTACAGTTTATGGTTTGCCAACATTTTACTCCATGTTGGGGGATTGTATCCATTGTATGAGTAGATATATAATCCTCCACCTTAACTACTA